AACAGAGACTTGATTTGGACTTACTTTGAGTATCAGCAGTGGCAACATAAACGAAGGAAAGGGTGAGCAAAAGATACCACACGGTCATGGTTTTTGCCATTGTTGCTGTTTTAGGACACAGAAGTTCAAGACAGATCTGCTTTGTGTCTGTCTCGAACTGATGCCTTCTGGTTCAAACCTCAATAAACTGCAACAAATTCCACCAACTGAATGGTCCTTCCCAACTTTATATTTTCTCTTTTTTTTTCACCTTCATTGTTCTCAAAGATTCTGCAATATACCATTACAGCAAGTAAAATTCCATTAAAAAATAAATTGAAGTTGTTATTGCCAACCAAATTACATCATTTTTCTGTCGGTGAGTTATATTTAGTTGTTCAAATTGACAAATAAAATCCATTATTTTGTTTGAAAATGACAAGAGACTAAAGAAATTATTAATGAAAGATGTTAAGTAATGCAGAGGATCATAGCTGTCCATTTTATTCCGTTTCTCTTTTTTTTTCTTTCAAGTTATGATGAGTCCATGATTTTAATTGTACCTGTAATATACACAATTAAAGTAAATTCATTTTGTGGTTGGTAGTATATTGTTGAGAGATTGAGATATTCTACGATTTTATAGAGTGTATCGATTTTAGATGTTGAATTTGATTTAGTTGTAGAAAACAAAGTTTTTAAATATAATTTAGCAATGTTCTGATTGTTTTAGATCAATGTCCTGTTCATTTAACGGGCTTGTAGAATCAAGAAAAAAATATTTTTACAACTAATTTAATTTATTTAATGGAGTTAACTATTATAATAATATTTTTTTAAATATATGATCTGTTCAATTTATTTTAAAAAATATATTGTTTTCTGGTTTTAAGAATAAATATTTTTTCAGTATAATAAATACTAATAATTTTGTTTTTAGTATAATAAAATTATAAATTTAGTATAGTTTTTTTTTTCATATTAACTTTAATTTTTTAATAAACGTATGTGATAATTATTAAAGACTAGATATATATTTAATTGGATTAACTATTAAAATAAACTATTACAATTAGAATTGTTGTTGATGCAATTTTATTCTCTATACTATAAATAAATATGACAATAATTAATATCTTGAACAACATAATTTGTTTTAAATTTAACAACAAAATAATGTGTAATGTAACGTTACAAATATATAGTATTAAATTATAAACGAGTTATCACATATTTAATAAAATAGAACAGTTAACAAGACAGGGAGTAAAAGTTCCATCATAGTTATACAAAACATAACTACAAAATTTTACTTTATACAGGCAAAAAAAACAAAATTATACACATAAAACTAATCTATAGAAAATTACAAGTCCGCGAATCCTCCCTCTGAAGCTTGTTCTACAGTCACCTTATCACTCTCTATTCACACTTACCGGAAGATCGTAGCCAAGAAAGATGCACAAAAACATATAAACAAATCATAAACAAAAAGGTAAGCTAGAGATACAAAACATTTCATAATATACTTAAACATTTCACACATGATTCATGTTTCACATCAAACCAACCAAAGATTATTTAAACATGTCAAGACTTAGACTGGACTATGGCGGTTCATGCACTTGTAGTGGTGAAACAACTCGTCTACCCCAAGCTACCACACAAGGTTAATCTGTTATCACTCGCCTTGGACCAAGGTAAAGCCCTTAGACTAAGACCTCTTGCTACTCTCATCACATGTCTCATCCTCTCTACTTGAAAATGAATTACCATTAGAGTGTCAGGATAAATCTCAATACTAAGTTTCCTATATTCATACTTTATAAAACTTGAAGCAACCGTAAAGAGTTTCATCCTATAAACTCTTTTCAAACCATACTTGGAACATACATAACCTCATGCATAAAATTTCATAACATTTTTCATTGATATTACTAAACAAGCTTTACATTATCGTATCAGTTTTTATCCATAAGAAAACAAATTAAGTATAAAACAAAAAACACCAATATGCGTACAAGACACCCTAACCAAAAATTAAATTTTAAGTTATTTTTAATCGATTATCACACTAAATAATCGATTATTGCCGAAAGGATTTATGCCAAAATGATTTTCAGACGACAATAATCGATTATCAGACAATAATCGATTATCATATGTGATAATCGATTATTCTTTTTAGTTTTTTATAGTAACCTGATTTTTATAGTTTTGGTGCATCTTAGACATTATAACCTGTAATACTAATATTGATATGAAACATATTTATAGATGAAAATAGAGTACTACATTGCTCATTTGGATAGGAATTAGATGTACCAAACTAATTCAACAACTCCAAAGTGCCTAATCAATTCTATCACTTGCAACACTAAATAACAACAATCTAGCAATATGACAAGTCTTAATACACTAGATAACCTACCCAAATACCTTAGTTTACTCATAACCTTTTTGTTTCAAGATTTCACTAGTCAAACCTCAAAGTTGAACTAAAATGTGCCCAAGAACTTACCTATTATGAATTTAACACTTCCACACCAGGTTTTACTCCTTTAAATGCCTAGACAAGTCATAATTAGTTTGATATCAGTCTCCCAACTTCCCAAAACAGCTCACAACCCTTACCTAAAAAGCTCACTACCAAAAACCCTAATTTTTCACTAAAAACACCCCAAAACTTCAACAATGAATCACCTCTATGTTCCATATTAGATTTCAAGCAAATAATACCTCTAACAAGTCCCAAATGACCACACAATAGTCATAAACCAATAATTTTTTCATTCCAACACCTATATCTCAAACTCACCTATCAAAAACCCCCCTTTTTATGCTTAGAACTCATGATTTAAATAACTACTCATTCCAAACACTTTGAATTCAATTTCACACAACAATACAACTTCAACCCACTCAATTATGACAATATCAAACATCAAAATCACAAAATTCCAAGTATACAAACATCATTCTACCAAGTATCATTATCTCAAGATCAAGAATAATATCACCATTTCAGTTAATTCATCATATTATATATATATATATATATATATATATATATACACACACACACACACTAATTTAACACCACAAACATAATCTAAAACAAAGTCTAGCCTCTTTTATCTCGCATCGAAACTAAATAGCTCTAAAAACGCCAAATCCTTGGTTAGAGTACAAGGAACTCTAGAAACACTTACACAATACCAAATTGGAAGCGAAAAGAGTCCTTATGACCTTGGATTGATCAAGAATTAGGAAAAGAGATCATGAATCGCATGCGACAAAGGATTACAATGCATGATCTCAAATTAAGAACGAGAGAGAAAAAAGAGTTGAAACTTATTTGCTCTAGACTAGAAATTGATTGAATGGATAGGTAGAACTTGTTGTTATGACCGTCCAGATACCTCCTGGTCGTCAAACAGATAATCGAGGAGTTAAAACTCTTAGAAAGATGGTAGAGAGTCCAAGAAAATAATGTTTTAGAAAGAATGTGAGTGTTTAAGATGATGAGAAGTTTAAGAAATTCTATTTATTTAATCAACTTATTTTTAAATTTTATAATAATTAGTTTCATTATTTTAATACACCTACCAACTCTAATATTCTATTTTCTAAGCTCTTACATGTAAAACATAGAACAAACTATATCTCAGTGATAGAAATTTTACTTTTGAAATCATTTACAATATATCTATTATGAGATTTTAATGTTTTAATAAAATCCACTATTAACTTATTTACATGCATGTAAACAAGTTTAAATAATTTCTTTTAAAACATTTATAACTAACTTCCTGATTTGCAACATTATTTTTTATATACCAAATATAACCATAATACAAAATCACACAAGAAACACAAGAAAGGTACATTATCAAGAATAAAAATAATATACAAGTCAATCATAAATCAGTTAGGTCACAACCCCAATAAATTCATATAATCCTAGACTTAATTAAATTCATATATTATTAAATTTCATTTATTGAGTTGTTAACCATATAATCACAGACTTAATTAAATAAGTCCTTTGCCTTTTTTAATGGCTAAATAGTCCCTTATTTAGCTGTTTAGATTATATTACGTCTTCAAAACATACACACAACTAGCTCAATATAAACAACTATGAATAGTTTTATGTCAAATATTATTCTATTGAAGAATACGACACGTGGATTAAAAGACTGATATATACCTACCTCTTAATACACATTTGCTACTTATTTTATAAAGAACAAGTTTAAATGTTAATAACTACAATTTAATCATTGCAAATGCAGCAACTTTTCTTTATTTTTATAGGCCCATATTTAACAACTTCCCGTCTATCCAAAAAAAACTCTTTGCACATACAATAAAGGATCAAACTGAAACTAATAAATAAAAAATAAAATCAAAGTATAATTATGTCTAAATCATATTAATTGATTAAAATGTTACTTGTATAGTAAGATATTTATTGGATAAAATATCTTAGATATTTTAAGCGGTTAAGGTATTTATGAATAATTAACCTGATTTTTAGGTAATCTGTTTATATCTTATTCTGTTTATATTTTATTGGGCTTATATCAGCTCAGATTCATAAGGTCAATTATAAACACAAAGCTAGGGCCAAAAATCAGGTAGGTTCTACTTACGCATTATTCACTCTAAACTACTCAATAGTGATAATCATTCATGTTCAACCAAGAGTCGAGCCTCTTCAAATCACACGTCTAACTTGAGCGTCAGAGTATATTTTGCAGGTACATTCAACTATAATTAACATTCTTTATATATAATTATTATCTAAACTATTTAACTCTATCGGTATATTCATAGTTGTAAAATTTAAATTAATAATATTTTTAATTGAAACTGTCCATTTTTATCGAATTAAAATATTAACATTAGAACGAGGAGGAATTTTAAAAACGAGTGGATAGAATAATTATGGAAGCCGGAAAGGATATATCTGCAAATTACAAAAATGTGGAAGGGGGCGCGGAGGAGTGGTTAGTGAAAGAGAAGTGACAACTAAGAAGATAAGAGTGGGACCCACCGAATCGGTTACGATATCGCCAACCATCAAGCCAGCCACACTATTATGTTGTGTGGCATGGCGTCACTTGGCACCCCTGCGCATGTTAGCAGCAACAGGCCATTGCAGTGTTCCACTTGGAAGGCGAAGCGAGTGAGGTGCGCAGTGTCGTCCCCAAGGTGGCGTGAGGGGCGGCGCACGGTTTCGTTCTCTCTGCTTCTCTCCCACCTCCTTCTCATTCCTCACCGTGCGTACTTCTTTCGCCGTTTCAGTCATACTCTTCTCACACTTTGGATCCGTTTCACGATATTGCCATTTTCACGTTGCAGGTGCTGCTGTTCAGGCAAGTCCTTTCGATAATTATGTTAAGAGGTATGAATTAGTATCGATCATCTTGTCATCATTTTTGCGCTTACACTCTGTGCATATCAGTTACTTTTTTCCTATAGTTATAAGTTTGTTAGTCGATTAGTTCCTTGTATTAGCTTAGCGTATGTTTTTCGAGGTTTTATTCTGTTTAGATAGATAAGTATTCACAGTTTTACATCTCCACCAGTATTGGCTAGCTTTGCGATGGTTCAATTATACATGGTTTTGCATTATGCTAGACTAATTATTATTTGACTTGAGTTTCATTTTTTTGTATAATTATAGTGGTTTTTGTAATATTAACAACTCAGAAATCATGAAAAATGATTGAGTGAGTTATTGGAAAAGTGGACAAATATAACGACTTGTGATTGGTCGATCTTGTAAAAATTCTTTACATTGTTAATGCACATTGTTCATTCATTTTATTCATTTTACTCGTATAAGGGGGAGGAGATGTTTGATTTATTTCTGTGCTAGATTTGCTTTTTTTTTAATTTATGGTTAAAACAACTGTTTTTTCCATCAAAAGAACTATGATTTTAAAACTATTTTGTTCTGTAATGCTGTAGAAAAAAACTTGATCCTCTGGAGGCTTATGTACCAGCTGTCATACTTACGGAGTTTCAGATCAAGGACTTAGGTAATGCCTTTGTCGTGCTAGAATCCATATATTAGAAAATCTGTGATTTCAATTATTTGAAGTTATTTATTTATTCCATACTTGTAGTTAGTATTTTGTTATATTTTCCGGGTTTCCAACGTTTCCTGATTATCTCTTTGATTGGCCACCTTTTCTAATCTAGCCATTAAAAACAACAAGCACCTCACAAAAGGAAATTTAATGAAATACAGTTCGTTTGTTTTCGACTTTAAAATTTGACATAATTCTGATGCGTGTGCATACATTCCTCTCAATACATGTCTGGTCTTGTCGTTCCTGTCCATTTTGTATCCTCGTCATTAGTATTGCTGTCGGTGTTCATATGACAAGGTTTGCAACAATCATAATTTGAAGGTAGTATAAAATTTATTTAGGCTTCTTTTTACTACTGCAGAAAAAACATTAGAGGGTGAGGAACCCCAATATGACTTCTGTCGGTCTCTACTTCGTTCCGGGCCCGCAGCATCACTTCGTGTAAATATAAGAGCAGTAAGTAAAGACTTCCTTTAACTTATTAGGTGTTCTTTTAGATGTGACACCAATCGTTTCTCTTTATAAAGAAAATTTAGAATTCTCCGTTGAGTCCCCAGCCCCTCCCACCCTTTTGAGTCGGTTGAAAGGTTTATGAAGCTTCAATTTTGTGATTGAGTATGAAGTATTCGTATATTTACTTCGACTCCTTTTTATATACAATTCCTCAACTTTGAATTCTGATACCAAGCTTCTATTTGCTACGAAAACTACTCTATTTGGTCGTTACTGTCTCCATTGTTATCAAGCAAATTTCAGAAGACGCCTAAACAACATAGAACAACCAACAGCTTCAATGAGTGTTGTTCATAGCTCATTCCATTGCTGATATATATCTTTGGATAAACTATTTCTCCTTCTGCTGTCTGAAGCCATTCTCATCATGTTATCTTTATGGATATGAAAGTTAATTAGAAAGTCACTATCTTTTTGTAGGTGGCACAGTATGCATCTGACAGTGGCAATGGTAAAACTGCTTCCAATGATGTTGATGAATGTCTGAGGTATTGTAATCAATTTCCTATAGAAATTGCATGAATGAACTGTCACGAGTAACCACTGATCTATTATACACAGTACATAATTAAATTCTTTCAATATGAAAACCCAATGTAAGATTTCTGCTTATGAAGGTCACTAGAAGAACTTGATTCCCTGCTTCTTCATGCAACAAGAAAGGATCCTGAAGCCTCGGTCAAATCAATGAAAGCAAAAATCAATTCCGCCCTTAACGCTCTAGACAGGTGATTTGTGTAGTTTTTGTCGTTTCTCTTTCCACAGTGTCTCTTCTTCCTCTTGCACATATTTCTTTCCCCTAACTGGTTTATGTTTGGACGTCAGTTGGGAAAACCAAAAGTTAAAGTAACAAGTTTTTTCATTCGTCTTGAAAGTCAGAGATGGGCATTGAAATTTCTAAATATATTTTTCCAACTTTTATCCAAACATAGCCTTGAATGATTGAGAAGATGTGATTCTTACTAAGCTTTATTTTTCAGCCTCTTAAAAACTGTGCCTTCAGATGTGCTAAGTAAGGGAAAGGTTATAGCTGATTCATACAGGGAACCGGAAGGCGAGGAAACAGGTAGTTTGGACCCTGAATTAAAGCAACTACAATCAATACTATGAATATCTAGCATGCTTATTCGCCTTTTAGTATTAGTCAGCTTACTTGAGAACTAAAGATTATAGAACCAATGTTCCGAAGGCAGAATCTTAAAACACAAATAACATAATGTGGATCAAAATATGAAAAAGGTTTTAAAGTATTGATCTGTTTCTTTAAACTTGACCAAGGTTTTTTATCTTCTGTGATTTACAGCGATGATCATTAGTCGTGAGGTATAACTCCCTTGTGTGTGTGTATTATCTAATTGTTTATCTCTGGACTTACGGAAATGCCTAGTCTTAATTGTTTAAAGTGTGTTGATCTATGAAAATTTATATTATGAATTACATTAGTGGTTAAATTTGATAGAAAAATGGTGCAAAGAAACATTTAAGTCCTACCCCTAGAATGAGAATACGAACTAAACGATATGTTGCTCTGCTGGATAATACCTATTGACTTTATTTTCTTTTAAAAAGAACAGATTATTTTCTTTATTTCCTATCCTATGTTGTTTTACTCCCGTATAAACGAGTAGTACAGGCAGTTAAATGTTGAGAAAAGTTGCCGTGTCATGTAGGTTGTAAATCATTTTCCCTTTTCTAGATATAAGAGTTAGGTTCGACCAAATTACAACTCATGATATCCAAAAGCTTCCCATATATATTTATATGTTTCTCTCAAGTCGAAATTGAAAGATTAAGGAAATAAGATTATAATTCTATTTATATAATTTTTATATAAATATTTTTAAAATGAAAAAAATTATATATGCAAAATGAGTTTATAACTCTTTAAAAAATGTTTTAAAAGATTAAAGTCATTCTAAAGGTTAGAACGATTACTTATATTTTTAGTTATTAATACTTAAAACTTTCTTATTTCTAAATATATAAAAATATGATTTTCAATCTCTAGCTTCCAGCTATGTCAATGAACAGTTGCCGCGAACTAATATCATGCAAATCTAAGTACAACTCATTAAATATTTTTTCCACCAAAAAAAAGAACCCATTAAACATTCTTTTATTTCTTCTAGTTTTAAAATAAAATTAATCTTTTCCATCGCTCAAGTTTTTAAATGACTTTTTTCAATTCCACAGTTTAAAATTATTTTTCTATAATCTGAGTTTAAAAACATTTTTAGATACCTATATTTAAAATTCTTTTTTAATACCCTTATTTTTTATACAATTTGTCTTAATCTGTGCTGAAAGCTAGAATACTATAAAATGGCATTTTATTTTATTTTTCTAAAAATCGTTGAAGTATTTTCTATGATTTTAAAATTCTGAAATTTGTATTAACTAGTTTAAGGTATAAAATTTGCATCAATTTTAAACATACCCGTTTCTTTCTCAATCTTTCCAATTAAAACAATCATTTTAAATTTGAAAGACATAAAAAACTTCATAACATCATAACTGCTTACATAACTCCATTAATAATCCAATGATAACGCCATCATTGCTTTCAAATACAACTGATTTGCAAATATTGTACCTTCAATATATTTTCTAAAAAAATTGACCCCTTTCCACTCCATAAAAACAATAACATTTTCACTTTCTTTTTTAAATACTAATTTTGAAAATAATTCAGACATAAATATCGGTGATAAATTGATTGACGAATAATGTAATTTTTTTAGAAAACAATATTTAAAATAAAATACAGAAGTCAAATATACCCGTATTCTTCAACGCGGATTCGTTTGAAATTTGAAATGTTGATTTACAAGAATAGCAAGTAGAATAAATATAAATTATTGCAACAAAAATAGAACTGATTTCCATATGCAAAACAAACAAGCAAATTTAAATTTTAGCCATTTACAAAAACACGATGAAATAATAGATTTATTACCAAGCGCTCCTTCAATCCACTAGGAAAAACTGATCCTTGATCAAGGTAACAAAGTTGACGAACTGCTGAATATACGCTTCAAACTCGAACAAATTGTGCGTAATCTTCCCATGCTCATTGAGCTTATCTACGAAGCCCCCATGAAGATCATGACCAAAAGTATTAGTTAAGCATTATTCCATCATTACGTATGAAAAGGTTAAATGGCTAAAAGCATCAGACAACAGGCAAAGTGATTAAGGAAAATATAACAGAAAACTGAGTTCCCTATCACCTTTGGACAAAAGCGAACATCAAGAGTCTCCAGTATATTGCATTTCGATATAGCAGCTTCAACAGCTTCCTCGTCAACATTGCAAGACTGAAAACCCAAAATATAAAAAAGATAGAAAAGTTTAATGAAACGAAGGTTTGACACAAATTGACAAGGGGGACCTTCAAGATTTGGATGGTAAATTAAATTGATGAAAATATGATAAGAACCACACTACCAAAATTACCTATTCAAAACATAAAAATCCTACACTACAATCTTATAATTCCAAGGAAAGACTCGTGTCAATTACCTTGAAATTGGATCCTAATACAATATACTAAATACATTTCTAACAAGCTAAATTTCCGGCGGAGCACAAAAAGCCAATCTCAAATCCGAACATGATTCCATAAAAGATTTATCCAACCCTCTAGAGTTCGTAAGAAACCTTTAAACAGGGAAACACTAGATTATATAAGGTTTGCAAGGAGAAAGACAATCCAAGACAAAAGAAGTAAATATGTAACAGATAAAATCAGTGACACAGAGCAGGGGAATCCTTCAAACATTTCAATAAATTTCACAAGGTAAAAATGATGGTTGATGAATGCTGCAGTGCAGAAAAGATAACCTACATATTACGTAATATATATTAAATAATATATATAATAAAGTATATTTACTTGTTACTTAATATATATTAAATAATATATATAGTAAAGCATATCTAAAAAAAAGGACAAGACAGCACTGAAGCGTCAATATTCAAAACTTGTAACAGATTAAAATTAGCAGGGAAGACTTAATACCTGAAGGAATAGACTAGTCAATCTTGGACACTCTAGCTTCAAAATTTCTAGAGAGGAACAATTGCTGAAAAGAGAAATAAAAAACGTTAACATATATCTGATATGAGATGGATAGAAACCAACACACATTTATTGCAGACCCAACCATACCTTAAATTAAGAAAGCATAGGTTGAGACAAGTAACATCAACCTCTTTCAAATTCGCGGAGAGCGAAAGGTTTAAAATTAACAAATGACAACAATTTGCCCTCAATGGAATGACAACCTTCCTAATATTTGGACATCCAACACAATTAAGGTTTTGCAACAAGCGAGGGGATTGCTCACTTAATTCAGGAACATTCTCATTAGAACTTGCCCTTGATAGGGTGTTCGCAGCAGGCAAATTCTTACTCTGCCCACAACTGCATCCCCAATTCAAATCATGCATATTCAAACAACCATTCAAGCTCACATGAGTGAGGTTTGTGCAGCAAGCAAGAAGCTCATCTATGGCTGACTGAGAGAAAGTTCCATAAGACAAGTCTAACTCCTGAAGTGCTGGTAAAGCCCCTCCTTTGTAAAGTGGTTCAAGTGATGTTTCAGTGAGATATTTGCATGCTTGCAGCTTTAACACCTTCATGAAACAGGAGAAAAAAAAAGTAGCACTATCAGCAAATGAAGATACTAAAAAAAATAACACTAATATAAAATGCCAAATTATCAATAATGAAACGAAAGGGAAAAGACAGATTGGAATTATGGGAATATGATACCGTGATAACAGTACAAATTACTGATTATAAAAAAAAGGTATGATTGTTCTAAACCCATCTCATTAGCAATACTCGTGATTAAAAGAATGTACAAGAATAAGAAACCATGCTATGGAAACTCTAACCTTTAGCTGTAAACAAGAATCAAAAACAGGTTGCAAGTTCACCAAGAAAGTGTATGATAAGTCAAGAACAGTCAAATTTGGAAGACAAAATAAAGATCGAAGACCGTCTGAACCAATTGATGGGCATGACATCAGTATCAATGACTCAATCAGTGGGCATGAGACAGTTGTAGCAGACAAGCAGTCATCAGTTAGTTGGCTGTAATTCCAAACAGTAAAAAGTCAATCAGCATTGCAGAAAAAAGAGTCTAGAGATGTTCAGAGAAAACCATTAACAAATGTTTTACAAAGGATAAATAGGAAAATAATGTATAGATGACCTGCAAAAGGAAGCATCGAGAGATGTTAAGAGTGGACAATTAATGAATGCTTCAGATAGTACACCACATCCTTTCAACTCAAGTGAAACCATATAAGGTGCTTCAATGCTGAGTGTACTCAATTTTGGGCATATTCCTAAATTGAGAGATGAAAGACCAACCTGACAAGTGAGGCATGAAAAGAAAATACTTAGCCTACAGCTTATGTAAATCATATTAACAGAAGTTCATCTCATGCAAAACAGAAATGTTTTCTACGGGGGAGCAAAACCTAGATATCTTACAAGCTTTATAGCTTGAAGAACGCAGTCAGGAAAACAAACAAGCAGAAGACTTCATATTTTGTAGTTCATATCAATCTTCAGTAGTCGTGATTATTGATTTAGCAGTATGTCAAATATTTAAATAAAAATACATAAAGAACTAACAAGTTTGATCCTATGCAAACAGTATATAAAACCAATACCACTTACAGGACAAAATGACGCTCTTTCCAAATGATCACAGCCATCCAATACAAGTTTCTCTAGATTAGGGCATGTGAGATCAAGATTAGTTATTGCTCGGCAACCACCAAGTGAAAGACAGATTAAAGAGGTACTGATGAATTGAACCGATGTCAAACTCTGAATTCATCAAAACACCGTACATTAGAATTTAAAAGAAAAAAATAATCAACAAAATTACAGGCAAAAACTCCATAGGCAAAATTCACAACATGGCATTATGGAGATATACAGGAAAAGACGTGGAAAAAAATTATATAAAATATGTGACCCTCATTAGTTGATTATACAAGTGGTGTAGATCATGCACAAGAAAAAATAGGGAAAATGAACACCAAATGATTAAAATATACCTCACAGTTATCGAGAATTAATGATTTCAACACTGGACAGCCCCCACCATCATTAAAAACATTGCATACAGAGTTATTCAAAAATTCACATTCAGAGAGATCAACTTCTTGCAAAGATTGGCATTGCAAAGCCAATGTGGTTAAGCTGTCCTGCTTCGGTATAGTTAATTTCTGCATTGCCAAAATTCTGCCCTTTAATCCATTACAGTATAGACAAGTATGGGAACATAAAATGAAGGACATGATAATTATGACATACTTGAAGTGAATTTGATGTGATGTTTATACGATGGAGCACAGGACAATTGGACACCAAGATAGAAGACAGCATTAGGGTCATCAAATTCAAATCGGCAAATCTGACAAGAAAAATAGTTTTAAGAAATAAATTAGAAAAGGAAATACTCGGTAATACGGTTAATAGAAGCATTAAAAAAATATGACAAGAAGCAAAGGTGGCCATACTTGCGACAATGAACCAATCTAATGTTCTGCAAGCGAGGAAGATCTAAAGACACTGATGTCAATAGGCTACAATTATCAAGCTCCAAAACCTACAAAAGCAGTAACATCATTTCTCATTTGCAAGTCTTGCCAGAGAAGTAAGACATTAACATCAGCATCATGGACAAATCACACACCTCCAACATGGAACTATAAGCTATTGCAGCCATTGAAGCTGAAGTGATGCCCTCACAACTGTGTAGCTTCAGAACTGTTAACATTGGCAGTCGAACAGTCTTTCAAATAGGAGGGGAAAAAGCATGTCAAAATAAGGAAGATTGGATCTATATAGGCAAAAAGTGATTATAGACTCAAAATATACCTCTAGGGATACATTTGGACAGTATGATGCATCAAGAAAACTAAGGTGGGCACAATTCTGGGCTATCTCCCTTAATGTTTCATCACTAACACATGAACAATTAGACACGTCCAAAGAAACTAATTGCGGGCATGATGTCACAGCTGATCGAATAGCAGAATCAGGAAGTTTGTGGCAAGACCCTATATCAAGCTCTTGCAAAAGGGGGCAGTTGAGTACAGTCTGAGCCATGTTACTGCGCTTCAAGGACATGGTTTCGAGTTGTGGGCACCTGGAAAAGAATAAGCAATCACATTTGAGTTCACTGGTAAAAATACAGCTAAATGTGCGCTAACCACTAAACCTATTCACCTGACAGCTATACGCATCACACGGCACTTAGTCAACTGAAGATGACACAGTCTGTCGTGATTAACTGATATTTCCTGAATACCACTGCCAAGTACAGCATCATTGATGCTCAGTCTCCTCAACATAGAACAATCAGCCAAAGCATGGAAAAAACTATCCATTATATTTCCTCTTCCCAACGTTAAAGCCTCAAGATTTCTGAAAACAGTTATAAAGAATGAAAATGAATCACTGGTAACATAACTGAGAACCCAAATACCGAAGAAGCTACCAACCTTAACGAAGAGACGGCCTTCATGACAAGCTGGTAAGAGGGAGGACCGGACAAGCGGATTGTTGCGATTTTAGGATAACGCCTACAGATGTCCTCGACTACACAGACACAAGCATTGTATCAGCACATTTACAGGATTACGAGGGACACAGCATTATTTCCACTAACCATATTTGAACGCTACAAGGCACCAAATATTTACAGATAACAATTTATTATGAAATATATTCTCAGGCTCACATTGCTCAACAGATATGTTACGATCTTCAAAATTCAAACTCTTCCAGAAGTCTTCGTGAGCACTAGCAATTCTCCACTGATTACAAACCCTGGCAGCTTTGCAGAGATTGGAGTGATCCAAAAAGGAGAAAACCTAGATTACAAGGAGAACGGGTAAGCATAGAATTCCAATTTTCAAACCATTAGCAACAAACAGTAAATACCATGTGCAACAAATCATCCGTAAGATCCATCTTGTTTACTAGATCATCTACATTTGCGATGTCACTGTCATCTCCTTCATCAAAGTTACTCCCCTCACCAGAAGACATCAACCGCAAAGCATCATCGTTGGATTGAACAGACGATCCCTGAATATCATTATAATCCCCATATTCGGCAGATGCACTGGATTTCCCAACATTCGAAGAACCCGCAATCGCAGAATGAGCGCCACTGCAAAAAAAAAAAANAAAAAGAACCCATTAAACATTCTTTTATTTCTTCTAGTTTTAAAATAAAATTAATCTTTTCCATCGCTCAAGTTTTTAAATGACTTTTTTCAATTCCACAGTTTAAAATTATTTTTCTATAATCTGAGTTTAAAAACATTTTTAGATACCTATATTTAAAATTCTTTTTTAATACCCTTATTTTTTATACAATTTGTCTTAATCTGTGCTGAAAGCTAGAATACTATAAAATGGCATTTTATTTTATTTTTCTAAAAATCGTTGAAGTATTTTCTATGATTTTAAAATTCTGAAATTTGTATTAACTAGTTTAAGGTATAAAATTTGCATCAATTTTAAACATACCCGTTTCTTTCTCAATCTTTCCAATTAAAACAATCATTTTAAATTTGAAAGACATAAAAAACTTCATAACATCATAACTGCTTACATAACTCCATTAATAATCCAATGATAACGCCATCATTGCTTTCAAATACAACTGATTTGCAAATATTGTACCTTCAATATATTTTCTAAAAAAATTGACCCCTTTCCACTCCATAAAAACAATAACATTTTCACTTTCTTTTTTAAATACTAATTTTGAAAATAATTCAGACATAAATATCGGTGATAAATTGATTGACGAATAATGTAATTTTTTTAGAAAACAATATTTAAAATAAAATACAGAAGTCAAATATACCCGTATTCTTCAACGCGGATTCGTTTGAAATTTGAAATGTTGATTTACAAGAATAGCAAGTAGAATAAATATAAATTATTGCAACAAAAATAGAACTGATTTCCATATGCAAAACAAACAAGCAAATTTAAATTTTAGCCATTTACAAAAACACGATGAAATAATAGATTTATTACCAAGCGCTCCTTCAATCCACTAGGAAAAACTGATCCTTGATCAAGGTAACAAAGTTGACGAACTGCTGAATATACGCTTCAAACTCGAACAAATTGTGCGTAATCTTCCCATGCTCATTGAGCTTATCTACGAAGCCCCCATGAAGATCATGACCAAAAGTATTAGTTAAGCATTATTCCATCATTACGTATGAAAAGGTTAAATGGCTAAAAGCATCAGACAACAGGCAAAGTGATTAAGGAAAATATAACAGAAAACTGAGTTCCCTATCACCTTTGGACAAAAGCGAACATCAAGAGTCTCCAGTATATTGCATTTCGATATAGCAGCTTCAACAGCTTCCTCGTCAACATTGCAAGACTGAAAACCCAAAATATAAAAAAGATAGAAAAGTTTAATGAAACGAAGGTTTGACACAAATTGACAAGGGGGACCTTCAAGATTTGGATGGTAAATTAAATTGATGAAAATATGATAAGAACCACACTACCAAAATTACCTATTCAAAACATAAAAATCCTACACTACAATCTTATAATTCCAAGGAAAGACTCGTGTCAATTACCTTGAAATTGGATCCTAATACAATATACTAAATACATTTCTAACAAGCTAAATTTCCGGCGGAGCACAAAAAGCCAATCTCAAATCCGAACATGATTCCATAAAAGATTTATCCAACCCTCTAGAGTTCGTAAGAAACCTTTAAACAGGGAAACACTAGATTATATAAGGTTTGCAAGGAGAAAGACAATCCAAGACAAAAGAAGTAAATATGTAACAGATAAAATCAGTGACACAGAGCAGGGGAATCCTTCAAACATTTCAATAAATTTCACAAGGTAAAAATGATGGTTGATGAATGCTGCAGTGCAGAAAAGATAACCTACATATTACGTAATATATATTAAATAATATATATAATAAAGTATATTTACTTGTTACTTAATATATATTAAATAATATATATAGTAAAGCATATCTAAAAAAAAGGACAAGACAGCACTGAAGCGTCAATATTCAAAACTTGTAACAGATTAAAATTAGCAGGGAAGACTTAATACCTGAAGGAATAGACTAGTCAATCTTGGACACTCTAGCTTCAAAATTTCTAGAGAGGAACAATTGCTGAAAAGAGAAATAAAAAACGTTAACATATATCTGATATGAGATGGATAGAAACCAACACACATTTATTGCAGACCCAACCATACCTTAAATTAAGAAAGCATAGGTTGAGACAAGTAACATCAACCTCTTTCAAATTCGCGGAGAGCGAAAGGTTTAAAATTAACAAATGACAACAATTTGCCCTCAATGGAATGACAACCTTCCTAATATTTGGACATCCAACACAATTAAGGTTTTGCAACAAGCGAGGGGATTGCTCACTTAATTCAGGAACATTCTCATTAGAACTTGCCCTTGATAGGGTGTTCGCAGCAGGCAAATTCTTACTCTGCCCACAACTGCATCCCCAATTCAAATCATGCATATTCAAACAACCATTCAAGCTCACATGAGTGAGGTTTGTGCAGCAAGCAAGAAGCTCATCTATGGCTGACTGAGAGAAAGTTCCATAAGACAAGTCTAACTCCTGAAGTGCTGGTAAAGCCCCTCCTTTGTAAAGTGGTTCAAGTGATGTTTCAGTGAGATATTTGCATGCTTGCAGCTTTAACACCTTCATGAAACAGGAGAAAAAAAAAGTAGCACTATCAGCAAATGAAGATACTAAAAAAAATAACACTAATATAAAATGCCAAATTATCAATAATGAAACGAAAGGGAAAAGACAGATTGGAATTATGGGAATATGATACCGTGATAACAGTACAAATTACTGATTATAAAAAAAAGGTATGATTGTTCTAAACCCATCTCATTAGCAATACTCGTGATTAAAAGAATGTACAAGAATAAGAAACCATGCTATGGAAACTCTAACCTTTAGCTGTAAACAAGAATCAAAAACAGGTTGCAAGTTCACCAAGAAAGTGTATGATAAGTCAAGAACAGTCAAATTTGGAAGACAAAATAAAGATCGAAGACCGTCTGAACCAATTGATGGGCATGACATCAGTATCAATGACTCAATCAGTGGGCATGAGACAGTTGTAGCAGACAAGCAGTCATCAGTTAGTTGGCTGTAATTCCAAACAGTAAAAAGTCAATCAGCATTGCAGAAAAAAGAGTCTAGAGATGTTCAGAGAAAACCATTAACAAATGTTTTACAAAGGATAAATAGGAAAATAATGTATAGATGACCTGCAAAAGGAAGCATCGAGAGATGTTAAGAGTGGACAATTAATGAATGCTTCAGATAGTACACCACATCCTTTCAACTCAAGTGAAACCATATAAGGTGCTTCAATGCTGAGTGTACTCAATTTTGGGCATATTCCTAAATTGAGAGATGAAAGACCAACCTGACAAGTGAGGCATGAAAAGAAAATACTTAGCCTACAGCTTATGTAAATCATATTAACAGAAGTTCATCTCATGCAAAACAGAAATGTTTTCTACGGGGGAGCAAAACCTAGATATCTTACAAGCTTTATAGCTTGAAGAACGCAGTCAGGAAAACAAACAAGCAGAAGACTTCATATTTTGTAGTTCATATCAATCTTCAGTAGTCGTGATTATTGATTTAGCAGTATGTCAAATATTTAAATAAAAATACATAAAGAACTAACAAGTTTGATCCTATGCAAACAGTATATAAAACCAATACCACTTACAGGACAAAATGACGCTCTTTCCAAATGATCACAGCCATCCAATACAAGTTTCTCTAGATTAGGGCATGTGAGATCAAGATTAGTTATTGCTCGGCAACCACCAAGTGAAAGACAGATTAAAGAGGTACTGATGAATTGAACCGATGTCAAACTCTGAATTCATCAAAACACCGTACATTAGAATTTAAAAGAAAAAAATAATCAACAAAATTACAGGCAAAAACTCCATAGGCAAAATTCACAACATGGCATTATGGAGATATACAGGAAAAGACGTGGAAAAAAATTATATAAAATATGTGACCCTCATTAGTTGATTATACAAGTGGTGTAGATCATGCACAAGAAAAAATAGGGAAAATGAACACCAAATGATTAAAATATACCTCACAGTTATCGAGAATTAATGATTTCAACACTGGACAGCCCCCACCATCATTAAAAACATTGCATACAGAGTTATTCAAAAATTCACATTCAGAGAGATCAACTTCTTGCAAAGATTGGCATTGCAAAGCCAATGTGGTTAAGCTGTCCTGCTTCGGTATAGTTAATTTCTGCATTGCCAAAATTCTGCCCTTTAATCCATTACAGTATAGACAAGTATGGGAACATAAAATGAAGGACATGATAATTATGACATACTTGAAGTGAATTTGATGTGATGTTTATACGATGGAGCACAGGACAATTGGACACCAAGATAGAAGACAGCATTAGGGTCATCAAATTCAAATCGGCAAATCTGACAAGAAAAATAGTTTTAAGAAATAAATTAGAAAAGGAAATACTCGGTAATACGGTTAATAGAAGCATTAAAAAAATATGACAAGAAGCAAAGGTGGCCATACTTGCGACAATGAACCAATCTAATGTTCTGCAAGCGAGGAAGATCTAAAGACACTGATGTCAATAGGCTACAATTATCAAGCTCCAAAACCTACAAAAGCAGTAACATCATTTCTCATTTGCAAGTCTTGCCAGAGAAGTAAGACATTAACATCAGCATCATGGACAAATCACACACCTCCAACATGGAACTATAAGCTATTGCAGCCATTGAAGCTGAAGTGATGCCCTCACAACTGTGTAGCTTCAGAACTGTTAACATTGGCAGTCGAACAGTCTTTCAAATAGGAGGGGAAAAAGCATGTCAAAATAAGGAAGATTGGATCTATATAGGCAAAAAGTGATTATAGACTCAAAATATACCTCTAGGGATACATTTGGACAGTATGATGCATCAAGAAAACTAAGGTGGGCACAATTCTGGGCTATCTCCCTTAATGTTTCATCACTAACACATGAACAATTAGACACGTCCAAAGAAACTAATTGCGGGCATGATGTCACAGCTGATCGAATAGCAGAATCAGGAAGTTTGTGGCAAGACCCTATATCAAGCTCTTGCAAAAGGGGGCAGTTGAGTACAGTCTGAGCCATGTTACTGCGCTTCAAGGACATGGTTTCGAGTTGTGGGCACCTGGAAAAGAATAAGCAATCACATTTGAGTTCACTGGTAAAAATACAGCTAAATGTGCGCTAACCACTAAACCTATTCACCTGACAGCTATACGCATCACACGGCACTTAGTCAACTGAAGATGACACAGTCTGTCGTGATTAACTGATATTTCCTGAATACCACTGCCAAGTACAGCATCATTGATGCTCAGTCTCCTCAACATAGAACAATCAGCCAAAGCATGGAAAAAACTATCCATTATATTTCCTCTTCCCAACGTTAAAGCCTCAAGATTTCTGAAAACAGTTATAAAGAATGAAAATGAATCACTGGTAACATAACTGAGAACCCAAATACCGAAGAAGCTACCAACCTTAACGAAGAGACGGCCTTCATGACAAGCTGGTAAGAGGGAGGACCGGACAAGCGGATTGTTGCGATTTTAGGATAACGCCTACAGATGTCCTCGACTACACAGACACAAGCATTGTATCAGCACATTTACAGGATTACGAGGGACACAGCATTATTTCCACTAACCATATTTGAACGCTACAAGGCACCAAATATTTACAGATAACAATTTATTATGAAATATATTCTCAGGCTCACATTGCTCAACAGATATGTTACGATCTTCAAAATTCAAACTCTTCCAGAAGTCTTCGTGAGCACTAGCAATTCTCCACTGATTACAAACCCTGGCAGCTTTGCAGAGATTGGAGTGATCCAAAAAGGAGAAAACCTAGATTACAAGGAGAACGGGTAAGCATAGAATTCCAATTTTCAAACCATTAGCAACAAACAGTAAATACCATGTGCAACAAATCATCCGTAAGATCCATCTTGTTTACTAGATCATCTACATTTGCGATGTCACTGTCATCTCCTTCATCAAAGTTACTCCCCTCACCAGAAGACATCAACCGCAAAGCATCATCGTTGGATTGAACAGACGATCCCTGAATATCATTATAATCCCCATATTCGGCAGATGCACTGGATTTCCCAACATTCGAAGAACCCGCAATCGCAGAATGAGCGCCACTGCAAAAAAAAAAAATTAAAAACGAACATCAATACACCACCAAATTTCTCGATAATGCGATAACATTCTTGTCCCACATGCATTTTCCAATTGTCCAAAATCAAAAATGGACATCAATCGTAACATAACCCTAGAGAAAAACACCATGTCTTAAAGATAAAGAATGCCCAATGCCAACGACTCGCACTCAAACTCACTCGAAATCAAAATAAACTCTGGCGCGCTTCCGGCGATTGTCCTCGGCTGAAGCGGAACTGCCCTCTCCGTCAGAACGACGCCTGTAAGACGAAAACCTCTCCATGCACTCAATCAACAGAATGAAAGCGTGGTTTGGTAAAATGGGTCCCGCGGGAAGAGAATAGAAACGACGACGCTTGAAGCTTATGCAGGAGCAGCAACAGTTAACGCCTCATAAACCCTAGGTCTCGATCGCGCACATTTCGCGAGAAACCCTAGGGCGATGGCGGTTTTGACAGACAGTTTGTTTCTCTATTCCGCAAAATGTGGAAATTGGACACACTCAAGAGCTATATGAAGGAATGGATCCGATCGGATACGTTGTTGCGATTTTGGTTCCTGAGAAGTCTTGTGTTTCTTTCTCTTCTTTGCGGAAAGCTAGTTTACTAATCAGAGATTGCACGATGTAGACGACGGCGTTTAACCTGATATTTATTGTTTGTTTATTTATTTGTGTATTTTATTATTTAATTTATTATTTATTTATTTTATTGTTTTGAATTTAAAATTCTGGTTCGGCGTGTTGAGTTTGAAAAGGGGTGCTTAGTGGTTGTTGTCTCTTTTTGCGTCTACAAAAGTGGTGGTAATGGGAACCAACCAAAGGATGATGTCTTGTCTTGATGAGATGAGCATTTTTATTTCTGATTTCAATTTTGAAGACAATAAAGAAAGACTCCATTAACATTCATCATTTAATGGGACTCTCCTGCTTCCAATTCTTCCATAACAATCTACAAAATAGACACTGATTTACTTACCATGTTACTCCTTTTCACACAAACAAGCTACCATTTTTTCTATTATGTCTATTGTCATGCATTCAATTATATCGCTTTATTGTGTTTTTTCACTATTTTATTACACAAATTTAATACATTAAAGACATGTTTAATACGATAAGATATGATAATGGCTTCGTAATGTGATGTTTAAGAGATTTCGGGTAGATTTTTTCTCATTTCTTTTGTTTAAGAAGTAATTACATAGATAATAAAGTTTAGAGTTCTATATTAATATTAATAAAAAGTAAATGATATAAATACAAAAGTCATTTCATATTCTGATCAAGGATTCAAATAACTGCTAGTTTATGAGAAAAAAGTTCCTCTAAATGTGATTCAAGTATTATAATAAGACTAAAACCATTAGTTTCATTTAAAATTATTAGTTTGCAATTAATTTGATTGACTTTCACTCTCACGGTATGTTTATATTGTTTTGTCAAATGAAACATTAGGTTAAGGTTGATTGGGTATTTTTGAATGGTGTCCAATATGGTTTTTTGTTCACGATCTATACTCAATTCTTATTTTGGATGCGACTCTATTTATATATCATCTTTCTATGTTGATCGTATATCTTAGTTTCCCTTCAAGGTGAACAACTCCTTAGCGAACTGCATTTACAGGAAAGACTTCTTTTAGAGTGTTTAACTTTCACGAACTTATTTAAGTGTCCTACTCAAATAAGCTCTTTTATTTTGTCTTGTATAACAACACATTCCTCAATGGTATCTACCATCATTATGGACGAGTTACGATATTTGCTTGTTCCACAAATGCTCTCCAAGCCATGTGGTCAAATTCATCATGTGATTGTTTAGTTAATCCTAGTAGGGTCAGGTTGGAATGCACGAAACTCTTCATGCCCCGTCCTTGTTGAATGACTACATTCTCAACATGCATGATTATTAACTCCTCCTCGTACCTCTTATGCATTTCATCCATTTGCTTCTACATGCTCATCATCATCTCCTTAGCATCCATCTGGTCGATTGAAGTCTCCTCTAAAACAATGTTACTTGTCATGTTCCTTATGGTCATCATGTGAGTTTAAAAATGTTTTTTAGTCCCACGGTGAACAACAAAATATTTTTGTTGGATTGGCCAATTATCCACAACTTTAAGATAATTCAATTATGTGTTTCCTTCACTCTTGTCCGTACATTATTGTCTTTTTGTTCAAGAGGTGTCATGGACTTTATTTATTGTTTCAAGTGTTCAAATAAATTAGACTGGACTCTCAAAATTGTAATTGACTGAACTGTTTTATGTTAGACGGTATGATATCTATTATACGTTAAGAACAAATTGAAAATTTATTAAAAAAAATCAAATTTTTACTGAATTTATTTTTTTGCAAAATATCACTCCATAGATAGATCCTTGGTTTGTCCATTATTTTGCAAAAAGAATAATAATTCTTTTGCTGATTTAATTTGGGCTTTTATATACAAAAAATTCACTAAAGTTAAGATATGACATGAGGATTCCTTATACAATGACAAGTAGGTTCCACCAAAACAATCAACAGTAACACGAAGATTTCTTACATAGATTCATTTATCAATGGAATCATTAATAGGATGTCTAGAGAAAGAAGTTCTATATAGGTTTTTATTGTAATTTTAGTAAATACTCTACTTATTTTTATAAGTTTATTTAGTACATTTTCCATTTAAAAAAAGTGCATATTTTAAGCATAAATACAGTCTACTTATATTTATAAGTTATATTGTTAACTAGTTTATACATATTTTTTAAATCATTGCAATTTTAATCAATTTTATCAAGCGTAAAAATGTGAATATTATGTTTATCTTCTGGAATTTAAATTTGAATCCTTTAATTAATAATTCGTGTTTTAGAATTGTGAACAAACAAACATGTACCAAAGAGTGGAGTGAAAATAAATTAGCCTATGTTCAAGTTTTATCTTTCAAACGAAATTCATCTCTAAACCAACCAAGCCTAACATTTCTTTGTCATTAGATGGAGGGTAATTCTACTAAAACATAGTCAATTATGCCACCTAAATTTTCATTTAATTAATTGTTAAATTAAATAAAGAATATAAAAAAAATAATTTTATTTTCAATAGTTATAATTATCTCGAACTTTTATAAAAGGGAAGTAACTGCCTTTATTCCTCCCAAAGATCAGCCCATTAAAGTATTCGGTCAATACGCAATTACTAGCAACTAGCCCAACCCCAATAAATTACAAATAAAATAATGCTTTTGCTATTTACATTTCCTAGACTTTCTNTTTCTCATTTGCAAGTCTTGCCAGAGAAGTAAGACATTAACATCAGCATCATGGACAAATCACACACCTCCAACATGGAACTATAAGCTATTGCAGCCATTGAAGCTGAAGTGATGCCCTCACAACTGTGTAGCTTCAGAACTGTTAACATTGGCAGTCGAACAGTCTTTCAAATAGGAGGGGAAAAAGCATGTCAAAATAAGGAAGATTGGATCTATATAGGCAAAAAGTGATTATAGACTCAAAATATACCTCTAGGGATACATTTGGACAGTATGATGCATCAAGAAAACTAAGGTGGGCACAATTCTGGGCTATCTCCCTTAATGTTTCATCACTAACACATGAACAATTAGACACGTCCAAAGAAACTAATTGCGGGCATGATGTCACAGCTGATCGAATAGCAGAATCAGGAAGTTTGTGGCAAGACCCTATATCAAGCTCTTGCAAAAGGGGGCAGTTGAGTACAGTCTGAGCCATGTTACTGCGCTTCAAGGACATGGTTTCGAGTTGTGGGCACCTGGAAAAGAATAAGCAATCACATTTGAGTTCACTGGTAAAAATACAGCTAAATGTGCGCTAACCACTAAACCTATTCACCTGACAGCTATACGCATCACACGGCACTTAGTCAACTGAAGATGACACAGTCTGTCGTGATTAACTGATATTTCCTGAATACCACTGCCAAGTACAGCATCATTGATGCTCAGTCTCCTCAACATAGAACAATCAGCCAAAGCATGGAAAAAACTATCCATTATATTTCCTCTTCCCAACGTTAAAGCCTCAAGATTTCTGAAAACAGTTATAAAGAATGAAAATGAATCACTGGTAACATAACTGAGAACCCAAATACCGAAGAAGCTACCAACCTTAACGAAGAGACGGCCTTCATGACAAGCTGGTAAGAGGGAGGACCGGACAAGCGGATTGTTGCGATTTTAGGATAACGCCTACAGATGTCCTCGACTACACAGACACAAGCATTGTATCAGCACATTTACAGGATTACGAGGGACACAGCATTATTTCCACTAACCATATTTGAACGCTACAAGGCACCAAATATTTACAGATAACAATTTATTATGAAATATATTCTCAGGCTCACATTGCTCAACAGATATGTTACGATCTTCAAAATTCAAACTCTTCCAGAAGTCTTCGTGAGCACTAGCAATTCTCCACTGATTACAAACCCTGGCAGCTTTGCAGAGATTGGAGTGATCCAAAAAGGAGAAAACCTAGATTACAAGGAGAACGGGTAAGCATAGAATTCCAATTTTCAAACCATTAGCAACAAACAGTAAATACCATGTGCAACAAATCATCCGTAAGATCCATCTTGTTTACTAGATCATCTACATTTGCGATGTCACTGTCATCTCCTTCATCAAAGTTACTCCCCTCACCAGAAGACATCAACCGCAAAGCATCATCGTTGGATTGAACAGACGATCCCTGAATATCATTATAATCCCCATATTCGGCAGATGCACTGGATTTCCCAACATTCGAAGAACCCGCAATCGCAGAATGAGCGCCACTGCAAAAAAAAAAAATTAAAAACGAACATCAATACACCACCAAATTTCTCGATAATGCGATAACATTCTTGTCCCACATGCATTTTCCAATTGTCCAAAATCAAAAATGGACATCAATCGTAACATAACCCTAGAGAAAAACACCATGTCTTAAAGATAAAGAATGCCCAATGCCAACGACTCGCACTCAAACTCACTCGAAATCAAAATAAACTCTGGCGCGCTTCCGGCGATTGTCCTCGGCTGAAGCGGAACTGCCCTCTCCGTCAGAACGACGCCTGTAAGACGAAAACCTCTCCATGCACTCAATCAACAGAATGAAAGCGTGGTTTGGTAAAATGGGTCCCGCGGGAAGAGAATAGAAACGACGACGCTTGAAGCTTATGCAGGAGCAGCAACAGTTAACGCCTCATAAACCCTAGGTCTCGATCGCGCACATTTCGCGAGAAACCCTAGGGCGATGGCGGTTTTGACAGACAGTTTGTTTCTCTATTCCGCAAAATGTGGAAATTGGACACACTCAAGAGCTATATGAAGGAATGGATCCGATCGGATACGTTGTTGCGATTTTGGTTCCTGAGAAGTCTTGTGTTTCTTTCTCTTCTTTGCGGAAAGCTAGTTTACTAATCAGAGATTGCACGATGTAGACGACGGCGTTTAACCTGATATTTATTGTTTGTTTATTTATTTGTGTATTTTATTATTTAATTTATTATTTATTTATTTTATTGTTTTGAATTTAAAATTCTGGTTCGGCGTGTTGAGTTTGAAAAGGGGTGCTTAGTGGTTGTTGTCTCTTTTTGCGTCTACAAAAGTGGTGGTAATGGGAACCAACCAAAGGATGATGTCTTGTCTTGATGAGATGAGCATTTTTATTTCTGATTTCAATTTTGAAGACAATAAAGAAAGACTCCATTAACATTCATCATTTAATGGGACTCTCCTGCTTCCAATTCTTCCATAACAATCTACAAAATAGACACTGATTTACTTACCATGTTACTCCTTTTCACACAAACAAGCTACCATTTTTTCTATTATGTCTATTGTCATGCATTCAATTATATCGCTTTATTGTGTTTTTTCACTATTTTATTACACAAATTTAATACATTAAAGACATGTTTAATACGATAAGATATGATAATGGCTTCGTAATGTGATGTTTAAGAGATTTCGGGTAGATTTTTTCTCATTTCTTTTGTTTAAGAAGTAATTACATAGATAATAAAGTTTAGAGTTCTATATTAATATTAATAAAAAGTAAATGATATAAATACAAAAGTCATTTCATATTCTGATCAAGGATTCAAATAACTGCTAGTTTATGAGAAAAAAGTTCCTCTAAATGTGATTCAAGTATTATAATAAGACTAAAACCATTAGTTTCATTTAAAATTATTAGTTTGCAATTAATTTGATTGACTTTCACTCTCACGGTATGTTTATATTGTTTTGTCAAATGAAACATTAGGTTAAGGTTGATTGGGTATTTTTGAATGGTGTCCAATATGGTTTTTTGTTCACGATCTATACTCAATTCTTATTTTGGATGCGACTCTATTTATATATCATCTTTCTATGTTGATCGTATATCTTAGTTTCCCTTCAAGGTGAACAACTCCTTAGCGAACTGCATTTACAGGAAAGACTTCTTTTAGAGTGTTTAACTTTCACGAACTTATTTAAGTGTCCTACTCAAATAAGCTCTTTTATTTTGTCTTGTATAACAACACATTCCTCAATGGTATCTACCATCATTATGGACGAGTTACGATATTTGCTTGTTCCACAAATGCTCTCCAAGCCATGTGGTCAAATTCATCATGTGATTGTTTAGTTAATCCTAGTAGGGTCAGGTTGGAATGCACGAAACTCTTCATGCCCCGTCCTTGTTGAATGACTACATTCTCAACATGCATGATTATTAACTCCTCCTCGTACCTCTTATGCATTTCATCCATTTGCTTCTACATGCTCATCATCATCTCCTTAGCATCCATCTGGTCGATTGAAGTCTCCTCTAAAACAATGTTACTTGTCATGTTCCTTATGGTCATCATGTGAGTTTAAAAATGTTTTTTAGTCCCACGGTGAACAACAAAATATTTTTGTTGGATTGGCCAATTATCCACAACTTTAAGATAATTCAATTATGTGTTTCCTTCACTCTTGTCCGTACATTATTGTCTTTTTGTTCAAGAGGTGTCATGGACTTTATTTATTGTTTCAAGTGTTCAAATAAATTAGACTGGACTCTCAAAATTGTAATTGACTGAACTGTTTTATGTTAGACGGTATGATATCTATTATACGTTAAGAACAAATTGAAAATTTATTAAAAAAAATCAAATTTTTACTGAATTTATTTTTTTGCAAAATATCACTCCATAGATAGATCCTTGGTTTGTCCATTATTTTGCAAAAAGAATAATAATTCTTTTGCTGATTTAATTTGGGCTTTTATATACAAAAAATTCACTAAAGTTAAGATATGACATGAGGATTCCTTATACAATGACAAGTAGGTTCCACCAAAACAATCAACAGTAACACGAAGATTTCTTACATAGATTCATTTATCAATGGAATCATTAATAGGATGTCTAGAGAAAGAAGTTCTATATAGGTTTTTATTGTAATTTTAGTAAATACTCTACTTATTTTTATAAGTTTATTTAGTACATTTTCCATTTAAAAAAAGTGCATATTTTAAGCATAAATACAGTCTACTTATATTTATAAGTTATATTGTTAACTAGTTTATACATATTTTTTAAATCATTGCAATTTTAATCAATTTTATCAAGCGTAAAAATGTGAATATTATGTTTATCTTCTGGAATTTAAATTTGAATCCTTTAATTAATAATTCGTGTTTTAGAATTGTGAACAAACAAACATGTACCAAAGAGTGGAGTGAAAATAAATTAGCCTATGTTCAAGTTTTATCTTTCAAACGAAATTCATCTCTAAACCAACCAAGCCTAACATTTCTTTGTCATTAGATGGAGGGTAATTCTACTAAAACATAGTCAATTATGCCACCTAAATTTTCATTTAATTAATTGTTAAATTAAATAAAGAATATAAAAAAAATAATTTTATTTTCAATAGTTATAATTATCTCGAACTTTTATAAAAGGGAAGTAACTGCCTTTATTCCTCCCAAAGATCAGCCCATTAAAGTATTCGGTCAATACGCAATTACTAGCAACTAGCCCAACCCCAATAAATTACAAATAAAATAATGCTTTTGCTATTTACATTTCCTAGACTTTCTAAGTTCACTTTCAGTTTCCTATTCTTTTGTAAAATTACCTAATCAGCTCACATTATAAATCTACATTTTCTCTTTATTGAAAAAACACCTCAGTTTTGTGTCCACAGAATAAATAAATAAATTGATAAAATATTTTATAACAACAATCGTGTTAATATAATTATATTGAAAAAGAACAAAGTGAATTTTATACATTTCAAGAAAAATATAGAAAATTGGTAGAAAGGATTCAAATGACAGCCGAAGAGCATTGCTAACAGTGGAGTGTAGGATTTGTAATTTTTTTATATGAAAAAAAAATGGTGATCAAAATAAAAACAAAAAAGGATTGTAAATAAACGTATAGGAAGTGTAAGTAGCAAAAGCCTAAAAGTATACACAAGATAACATGCCTAGTTAACAAATCAAGGAAGACAAATTCTAAAATTGTCTATTTCTTGTTTTTTTATTTACTTATTAAAGAAAGTAACCCATACAATTTTTAATGTTTCAAAATATAAAAATGTATTTGATTTTTAATTTTTAATTTAAATATTAGAAATTAGACTCGTAGTATTGAATGGTACGATACGATGTAATTTTTTTAGATATAAAGAATTCATCGTGTGATCTACATTATTACTAAATTAAGTGTATTTTCGCATTCTAAAAGCACAAACCTTCATTAAGAAAAATGTTATTTTTGTCATTTTTTTATTACTATATTATGAATATTTTGTTACATTATTATGAAAATCTTGTTACAATTATAATTATAGTTATGAATATTGAAATTATAAACTTTACAAGGTTTAAAAAAATAATATACATTATTTTGATATGAGTACGGTCTTTAGAATAGGTAGTAGGATTTGAGTGGATTAAAGAATCTAACGTGTATTTCTTAAGGATTGAAATACATGGAAGATTCATATGAAAAAGATTCTCTGATGTTCAAATCAGTAAAAACTTTGAATCTTTATAAGTAAGAGAGAATGAATATTAGTGTAAGAGTGAGTATTATATGAAAAATACCATATGTTGTTATAGGGTATTTGGGTCTTACGGTTCATGTTATAAAATTGGTAATGCGATATTAAATAATATAAATAAAATAAATATTTACCTCATATGTAACAATAATAACAATAACATTGTACCTTGTTGTGAATAACAATAATAATATCACGATATGATCAAACTGATGAGATTTGCTATGATTATCTTTATGTGAATATTTGCTTCAATAAACCTATATTGGATCTATTCCAAGACCATGAGACTTATTGGACTTTGTTGGACCACATTCTTTAACACATATATTGAATGAGGTAGGCACATAAGTCCCTTAGTCTTAGGAGTTTGATTAGCATATGATAGGTGCTCATTGTGGTAATGAGTGACCTCTTGACTAGGTTCTGGCTGACTTTTAACATTTACAAGTGGATTGGTTGTTTGGTTGGGTTGTATGAGTGTTGTCAACAAAGGATAATCTTTACTTTGTGTTTTTTACTTAGACAAACTCAATGCTACCGACTTGGATAGGCTTTGTTTTGGGCTGCCGACTTGATGATCACTTTATCAGAAACAATAAAGCATTAATAAGGGGTCTTTCTCAACTTCACAATGATTTCCTTGTAGTGCGAAATGATATTTCGCATCAAATGGTTTTGATCGAACCTGACGTAGCTTTATCTTAGGGGTTGAATTCGAGGAATGAAACGTCAAAAGTTACAGGAACGACAACGACAACAATAACGATAAGGATAATAACGATAACTACAATAATAACGATAATTGTAACGGTAACGACAACGACAACAGTAACGACAATGACAACGACAACAATATCAATAATGGTAATGGTAAAGATAACAGTAATGACAACTATGACGATAACGACAACGACAACGGTAATAACAACGAAAATGACAACGATAACGACAACCACAATCACAACAGTAACGACAACGCTAACGGTAACAACAATGACAACAACAACGGTAATGACAACGATAACAGTAGCGACAATGACTACGATAATGGTAACGGTAGCGGTAACAGTAACGGTAACGGCAACGACAACGACAACAGTAACGACAACGATAATCGTAACAGTAACAATAACAGTAACGTAACGATAATGACAACATTAACAACAACGACAACAGTAACGATAACGATAATGACAACAACAACGATGATGACAACAGTAACGTAATGGTAACACTAACGATAAAGATAACAATAATGATAACGATAAAAGTAACGGTAACAGAAACAAAAAGTATAATAATAACATTAGTAAAAATAATCATCGTTAAAGAATATTGTTTTACTTATTTATTAATTTTTCTTAATTTTAATATTTGAAAATATTTG